TTAGTGTTAATTTCCAATTTTTTTCTTTAAGAGGAAAGAAACACAAAAAAGAAAAACAAAAAGCAAAAGAGACAAACAACAATGACAACAAACCCAAAACAATAACAGTATAGGTTTACAAAACAAGATGATAATTTGACACTAGTTGTAATACTGCATATTGTTATCCTCAAAAGAATTGCTTAGATTACCAGATATAGACTCACAAAATCAATCTAATTATATGAGTATTAAATGTTCTTTTGCAAGAACTAATATAGTTAGTAGTATAGTCATTTTAGCTATCTGATGTGTGTGTATATATATATAAAACATATATATGTATGTCTTTTTCCTTTTCCCTTCCTTTTCTCCCTTATACTCTTCCAATTACTTTGCCTCTTCAAACAGTTTCTTACCCTTACCCTTAGAGTATTTATTGTAGATTTTGGATCATATATAATCTTTTAAAATTCTGTATCATTTCTACTCTTTTTTGTTTTGTTTTTTAAAATAAAAAATTTTAAAAGACAAAAAAAAACAAAAAAGTACGTGATTAAAGTAAAAACATTTTTTTTTTTTTTTGTCTTTTTCTTTTGTATTGGTACCGGGGATTGAACTCACGACCACCTGCCTGCAAGGCAGGTGCTTATGCCGCTGAGCTAAATCCCCAGCCCCCGATTAAAGTAATTTTTAAAATGTCTTTAAAATAAACATTAAGAATAGATTTCATGGGAATACACATTAAAGCCAAATAATGAATAGAATCTCCACACATTTCTTCACTCATTTCTTCATTCCAAGATCTTTCTGCAGTAGTCTTACACTACTATGTATGCAAGAATATTTGCTAAGGACCTGCCATGTGTCATACATAATACATAATGCTAGACAGTCACACAGTAATTATGTAAGGTAATTTCTAACAAAGAATTTGAATTCTAGTTGAAAAAGTAAAACAAATACACATATATATGAATAAATATCAAAGATAAATATCAAAACATGGCAGAAAAACAACAATATAAAAACAATATACAATACAAACAACAATATAAAAACAATAAACTACAATAGTCTCAAGAAAAAATAAGTTAACTTTAAAAGGTCTTATTCAAAAAAGGCTTTGTGCAAATAAAGAATATTGCAATGAATCTTTAAGAATTGAGTGATGTGTGGTGAGATTTGAACAGAGCCAAAAGAATGCCATTCAAAACAAAAATATACTGGCTAAACAAAGTATAGCATTGGAAAAATAAAGGTACTTTAAGGAGACAGTGGCTAATCAAATATATCCATATATTAAAAGATATATGGAAACTGAGTTTTAAAAAGCTCAGACAAAAATGTGAAAAGCTTTAAAAGTCACAATGAAGAATTTGAAATTTTTATAAGCAATTCAAAAATTAATCAAAGCTTTTCAGCAAAATAACTTAGTGAATGCAAAATTTTAGCTATATTAAAATTTGATAGGTATAAATACTGTATATCTTCATTAAAAATGTAATTACTGTCATACAGAGACATGTAAATAAAACGCACTAAATATATAATAAAGAGGGGCAGACTGGAGCAAAATAAACTTAACAAAAAGATTAGCCCAAGATTTAATTGTTGGAAACAAATAATGCATCACATCACATAGACTAGAAAGTTAGGCAAGGTAAGGGTATAGAGAACTACCATATTCTGCTCCCTCCATTATCACTATGTTTGCAAGGAATTCAAACTACCTAAGGGTAGAGTAAAATAAGTAATTGATTAAAGAAGTAACCAGAGAAGTTACCAAAGTGATATATTAACAATGAGTCTTCCAAGTTAGAGAAAATACAAGTGCTTTAATGTGCTTGAAAAAGTATCTACAAAATGGAAGCTACATAACTTAACTAATTGCCTTATTAATTCAAGAGAAAGTAACAACAATAAATCTAATCAGAGTAGCAATATAAATGAGTTAACCTAAAAAGCACTTTTGCCCAAGCTTCACTTTATGGTATATAATAAAACTAAAGTTCAATCTCTTCACTCATCACAAAACAAAAAAAGAGAGAGAGAAGGAGGGAGAAGCAAGCTTAGATTCTCAGCAGCAAGCCTTAAATTGTGCTATATTGTCTTAACCCTCACAAATAACTCATTAAATCAACCTCTTTCCTTCAGCTTTACCTAATCATATTCACTCCTTAATCCCACTGTAAAACATTAAGTATATATGTTATAAATCTTTAGAAGTCACCTTTAATAAAAATAAGTATCATTAGCCTTCACATACTACTTTGCAGTAGACAAAATATTTTACACAGGTTTCCTCTTGGAAACCTTACAGAAGCTGTACACAGCAGGGGTTATTGTTACTCATATGTTATAAAGAATCAGTAAGCCCACAACCACACATTCATAAGTGATACAACCATATCTTCAGTGGAAGCTTTCTAACACCAAATACATATTCTTCTCATTGAATTTCATAATGTGGCATTAGGTATATTTTATTATTCAAATTTATGATGTTACTTTGTACTACTTTTAAGCAAATATAGTTTTAATAAGGTGCCTTGGTAGCCAAGTGCTTTGCTCAGGGCCATTTACTAAAAAACCCCAATTATTTTAAGATGTCCATGATGATAATAATTATCATTTGATAAAAAGTCACAAGAAAGTAATATGTTTGCAAAATTGTTGAAACTATACCAAAAACATTTTTGTTGTGAATTCTGTAATGCAACATGCAACAACAAAGACAATGTGAGTGATATGAGAATAGGTGAGCATCAAAGGGTATAAATAGGACATTCCTACTTTCTTTATCTTTGTTAAAACCCCAAATACTGATGCAGTTCAGAGCATCTTATTACCAGGGAGACATAAATCAAAAAGACGCTCAATTACGAGCAATAAAACAGATTAGTATCTGGAAGGATGAGTTTAAAGAAAGTTTTTAAAGAATTAAATGCAGGTAGTTTGGATTTTTAAAAAAATCTAAAAAGAAACTTTTCATGCTTAATATCTATACCAAAGACAATAATTATTTTGTAGGCAGATGTCTAAAAAATAGAGAGGAATCTTTTAAAAGAGTCAAAAGAATATTTGTCAAGAGAAAATTCAAGAGAAATTTTCAGGCACAAATCTATGAAACAGAGGAACTCTCTCTCCCAGGAAGTGAAAAACACATTCCTAGAGATATTTAATACTAAATTGGAAAAAAAAACCATCCATATGGAATGATTGTTTACTGGCCCATTAAGAGGTGGGAAGACTGAAAATGGCCTGTTGTATACTTTCTATTCCCAACTTTTTTCTAATTCTATGAAGTTTCAGAGATACAGTATTCTGTCAATTTCTTTTCTTCCCATGATGCCCACTTTCTTTCACAAAAGGAGACTAATCGCATATTTCATCTTAAGCAGATTTCATTGCTCTCAATGAATCAGTAACATAATTCTAGGTACAAAGCTGGGAGAAAAGGATCAATTCATAAACTTCAAAAATTCTTTTTCCAATAGTGATTCCTAAAGCTCTAACACACAAAATGAAGAGGAAGCAGTTTAAATGGATTTGAAGAAAAACTGTCTCATCAAGAAATCATTCATATTTCCCTTCTCCTGTCTGATCAAAAAGACAAGTGACCTTGGGAGCTTTAAGGCTCTGGCTCAAATTATTATCAGAATTGCTGTTTAAGATTGTCTTTTACCTTTCAGTATTTTATGCTGAGTGACAGCAAAATCTACTGGCAACCCACATTTTTATAGCAATATCTTTTACCTTTGAAGAGATATAGCCTTAAACACCTCCCTTCACTGGTAAATATTATAAAAGAGTAAGTCCTAGTGCTTCAAAGTCAAGACTCAGTCTTGCCCTCTGACTTTATTTTGGTTCTTTAAAAAATGTCCCCCACCCACTCTTGAAATAAACCTGAATAGCTCTCTAAAAGTCCCATTTAGCGAAATCCCAGAAAGTAAAAAGCTGACTTATAAAGACAATTTATAACTAAATCTATAGGTTCTGAAAACCTGTAAGGTGAATCCTTTAAAAATAAAACTGCAGCTTATTTATGAGAAAGAACAGCAGGAAAGAGATAGTCTTTCAACAACAGACATTAATGCCTCTTCCATACAACTTTAACAGCATCAGTGGCTGAAGACACATCAATTTCCACCATACTCCTTTGAAAGAACGTCCCACTAGCTACATGGAAAGTTCATAGGTATTAACAACAAAGCCAAACAAAATTTTAAATTACCATTTTCATTTTTCCCCTGGTAAAAATGAAACTGTTCAACCTGAAAAGATTGTCCTCATACTGAATAGATATGAAGGTTTTCAAAGCCCTTCCAACATTTAACTCATTTGATTCTGGCAGGAAAGAAGGCTTGCATTTGCAATCCTATTTCCAAACTGAGGGAAAAATGAGACTCTGAAATTTGACAATCTAAAGGAGAGAGAACCCACTACAGAGATTTTTCAAAGCTCTCTAAAGTAGGAACCCACCTAAAAGATACTATTCAAGGAAAACCTTAGAGGGAGCTTCAAAAAAGGTTAAATCTTTCAGTGTACTCATACCAATTAGGTTTTAAAAAACTCACGTGTGCCTAGAATTTTAGGAATGAAAATGTGACCTTCACTCTTTTATAATCTATAAACCTGGGTAAATTTTCTCAAGAAATCCACTACATTTTCTCCTCTCAAAACTAGCCTGCCAGAAGTTTTTTGTTTTTGCTTTTGTTTTTGTTTTAATTCCCAGCTTGGGGACTGTGCAGCCCAACAAAGGACAGTCAGAACCCAAGAAGGTCATCCTGGTGAGTGCCTTCTTCTTAATCATGTCACAAGTCACATACTTTGAGATCCTCTGTAGCTTTGGCTTCCATTTTTTCAAAGAAGCCTCAGCCTCTCCTCCAAATATGTCACACACACACACACACACACACACACACACACACACATACACACACACACACACAGCGAGCGCTGACTCAGGACCCCCTAACTTCCTCCCACCCCTCAGGAACGGAGACCAAGTTTCTCACCATCCTCATAGTTTTTGAGATAGTAATCCGGGCCCGGGCCCCCGCGGCTTTTCGCCGGGTTCCTCAGATTCTGGAACTGCAGAAAGTCGGTCCTTTTGCCCCCGAAGCGAAGAAAGGCGGGCGAAAGTCCCCGGGCCAAGGTCACCAGACGCTTGGAGCTGCAAGGATAGAAAAGGAGAGAGGAAAGGATGCCAGAAAGCTAGAATGTGCGAGTCACGGAGACATGACCTCTTCATTCTTTGCGGAAGATGTAGCGGTGCTCCGTGCTGGCCTGAGTCCGCAGTCAGCATAGGACCCCTGGCAGTTTCGCAGCGTCTCCCACGCGCCCCGCGTGCGCCGGCACCCCAGCCCGCTTTGCCTTCAACCTCTCTGTTGCTCCCCTAACCCTCTGCCCCTCTATGCCTTCTCTGCCCTGTGGCTGGCAGAAGGCCCCTCCCAGACACCTCGGTGCCCCAGGTACTTATTTCCAAAGAGTTTGAGATTGTGTTTGTTCAATGTGTATGCGTGGGTTTAAAGGATGGCGCTGCGAACAGATCAAGGTGCAGTTCCGTGCTTCCACTGCGAAGAAAACACTCCTTGTGAGGACATGCACCTCGCAGACTCACGCCTGGGGCTACTGCCAAACTTTCCCCAGCAAGGGGCATCATAATCTCTGTGGGGAAAGTAAACCCTTTCTTTTCTTGCCTTCAGACCTGGCCTGGCCCCTGAGGTGAAGTGAATTCCAACTTCCCACCACCCCCCAATCGGTTTTCCATTACATTCTATCAATTACATTATTGCTTACATCTCCAGGTGGAGAAATTTGGTGGTAAACTCCTGTCTTTTCGAGGTCTCTTCTCCCCCACACAAAGCATCTCTATGATCTCTAAAATACTTCAGCCTAATCTCAAGAGATAACCTTTTCCTCTTCATCCCAAATTGAGCTCTTTCTTCCTTCCTGTTGAGGCTGTTTGGAAGCTTTGAGGACGCAAAGTTTGCCAAAGTGGGGAACCTGCGCATCCAGGGAAATTCAAGCAGCACCACAACAATACCATTTACATTTATGAGCTTCAGATTCCCATCAATAGTTTTTAAGAAGCCAAAGGCTGCTAGTTTGGGAAGGAGCCATGGAGACACTGTTAGTGCTAAGGGGATCTGCCGCTGAGTCTGTAAATTATTTTTTAACCCTTGCTTTTTTGGATTCTGAAAATTCAAACCAAAATAGGTAAGTCAAAGAGCATCATGGAGGACATGGATGCAAAAAGAAAAAAACAGAGCCTCCCTTTTAGTTTTCAAGTAAAGTCGCGGCTATCCTTATTCAGGTGGCCAGAAGGTAGGTTTGGCCGAGGACTCCATGACCAAGTTCAAGGGCTCGAGCAATTAGGGCGCGACTGCTTCAGACAGCAGAGACTTCTGCGCCAGTGGGACTGGGGGAAACTCAGTATTTCCAATAGCCTTGCATCCAGAAGCCTGCAGAACCAATGCAGATGCACACAATCATGGACTCTTCCCTGAAAAGCTGCCTTCCAGAATTTTTTTGCAGCACTCAACTATTTAGCGAGAACAGGCTGGTACTGGAGGACATGGGGGAGGGGTCTGGAAGAGTCCGCGCAGCTGGAAGAGTGAAGGGCAAGTTTTTAAGGAAAAATCCTTGTCGTACCCCACACTCAGAAGAGCTCAAAGACGCGCTCTCTACAGGAAAGAGCTTTCTAGAAGGAAACCAGGAAATGTAAAGCTTTTTCCGCCCTCCTAACAGTTGTACCAGCAGGAATTGAAACCACCCCCGAGGCAGCGGCGACAACCTTCCAGTCCTCGGGATACACTCCCCACCACAACCAAGTGGAAGGAGCGCTCCACGTGGCGCCTAAAGCTACCTGCCGCGTCTGCCGACCAAGCCAAGGCCAAGAGGAGACTTGTACAGCTAAGGGGCGGGCGCATCCGGAGAAGCAAAACTCAAACTTCCTAAAGAATTTAAAAATAGGAAAGACGCAGAGAGGACGTGGCCTCAAAGCAGAGGAGTAGGATGGAGAGCGCTCAGGGCTCGCTGGGGGAGCCCACTGCTGAAGCTCCAAGTTGGAAGGAACTTTTAAAGACTGACACTTGGATTCGATATTGCAAACAATTTTTCTCTGTCTCTCTGTCTCTGTCTCTCTCTCTCTCCCTCTTTCTGTGTCTTTCTTCCTCTCTTTTCTTTCTTTTGCACTGCAACTCTGTCCTAGATGAGAAGGGATCGTGGTTGCCTAACCGCTGAACAACCCGAGAGAGGGTGAGCTCAATTTTATTCCAAGGGAATCACAACCTCCGGCTTTGCTAATCCACCCGCGCTGCGTTCAAGCCACAGAAATTTACCCCCACCACCGCCGCCGCACCACCGAGTACTTCTAGGACCATTACAGCTCAGCTTTTGTACACTGTGACCCCAGCGAAGATTTTTTTTAAAAGAAAAACTAAATGATGCAGTTACTGCAGATTTAAATTGGAAGAACTGGGGAGAGGAGGATATTCTGTCTACAAAAAGCACCTAACAAAGTCTTGAAGTCTGTAGATGACAGCCGAGGGCATAAAATAAAACTTTAAAACTCCAAACTGACTTGCCTACTGCTCAAACTTCTCCACAAGTTAATTTTCTGTCAGCGAATGGGAGATAACTGACAAAACCATCTTTCCGTGGAAAATTTCACTTTTTTACAATCTCCGTTTAAACCCTCACTGTCTCTGTCTCTCCTGTCTCCGTTTCCGTCTGTCTGTCTCTGTCTCTGCCTGTCTGTCTCTCTCTCTCTTTCACTCACACACACACACACACACACACACACACACACACACACACAGAGAGAGAGAGACACATTCCTCTTGGGTCTTTGTTGCTCCAGACCTTTTCTTCACTTTTGTAGCTGCGCTGAACCTCTTGTTTCTTTTTCAGAAGAAGGGGAGGCTAATTGTGAATATATGTAAGCACAACATTTTTTCAGTCATAACTGATAAGTTTCTGAAATGCCTTCTGCATTGCAAACATGTGCATCTTAATAGAAAACATTGCTTTTCTCAATCACTAGTTTCAGCCTCACAGCAAATACTCCAGAAGGAAAACCTTTTTTTATTTTTTTCTCATTGAGAGAGCGATTTGCTTGGCTTATTTTCTTCTTTTTCTTCTTCCCCCTTCAGAATGGGGATAGGAAGAAAATGGGAGTGGAGATTACTTTAAAAATTATCCATCGAAGCCCCTGCCTTACCTTAAGAAATCGAGCCAGCCATCATGAATGATGGAGGGATCCAGCTGCAGAGAGAGGAAGTTCTCATTGACTGTCCTGACTGGGTTCTTGGTGCTCACATCAAGTAGAATCAGGGTCTTTTCCTTCAAACCTGCAGCTCTGTCTACAGGCAAGGGTCTCCTGTCTCCAGCTTGGGAGGAAAGGGAGAATTGGAGCAACAGAGCCAAGATGAGAGCCACCCAGGCTAGGCACGCTGAGGGGCGGGAGTTGCTGGAGGACATGGCTTCAGGGAAGGCACAGAGGAACCTCATTAAATCCTTCTGATTTAAACTTCTCTCCCTACTGGGTCTCGCTGTTGACTAATTGTCCTTATCTAAAGTGTGTGTCTGTCTGCTTCCCCCCTCCCTTTTTTCCCTCCCCCCACCCCCCATTCTCTAGCGCTCTCTTGCTCTCGCGCTCGCTCTCTCGCTCTTTTTTTCAGTGTTTTGGTGCTGGTGGAGAGAACTCACGCCCCTAGCCAGCCTTCTCAGCAACTCGTGCCAAGAGTACTCCTTCACCAGCACCGCCCCTTTAAGAGATTTCAACTGCAGACACTTTTTTAACTTTTTAAAGGTAAGGGGTGGGGGGTGGCGGGAAGTAGAAAGAAGGGGTGGTGTTGTGCCCTCCTGATTTAACCCTCTAGGATCAGGAAACAGACAGTGGGATCAATATAGTACTGTGGTAACATATTGAGTAAGGGCAGCATGTCTTGATTTTACTTACCTCCCTGGCAGACTCTTAGAGGGGTTATTTAAACTCCAGCCCTGCCACCTTGTTAAACCTCACACAGACCCTGGGTCTGTTTATCCAGATAGCTGGAGCTTATTGACCCACTCTGTCCCATTCCAGGTCCTTCTCTTAAGGGTAAAGTAGCAAAGGCAAAGGTTATTAATTTGCACAGGATCTCCGTGCTAGGGACAACAGTAATTCTTGCCAAGGCAGAGGGAGACTCAACCAAGAGCTAGGACTTCTGTGAGGTGCTGAATAGCCACACAGAAGCATCCTCTGACTTCAACAGGGCAAAAAAGGTGGCCAGAAATAAAACACAGAATGACCGAGTCAAAGGGCTTCTGTACTTCTCCACTCCAAACAAAAAACCCAGTTTGCCCATGACTGCTAGCTCTTCCTGAAGCAAAGGAGTTAGGTTCTTGGGGTCTTCAGTGTATGCTGGCTTTGGCTGTCAAAGCAAAATGTACTGGGCTTAATCCGGGCAGCTTTGCACACATTTGAGCTACTCCTGTACAAGCTGAGCTGCTCTTCCTGGAGATCAGCATTCGGGTTCAACTCTCTAGTAAGGAAGTACATCTTTATGCTTCCAAAAAAAGTACAAAAGTATCATATAGAGGCTTGAAATTTGCCTCTAATCAAAGCAGGTCTGCCTGGACATAGCTCCTGGATGCGAGATGCAAGGTGCGCCACTCGTTCAGTTCATGGAACACCCAACCACAACTGGAGGTTGTGCTTTAGTAACCTTGCTATGGTGTGGAAAAGAGACCAGGCAGAGTTTGCTTCAGTTTGTGGGGCCCCACTTTTAACATCTTTCTGAAACAAAATAGGCTTTCTACTTGGCAGATGAAGGGAACTATGCAGTATAGGTACACAAAAGCACTCCAGGGCCTCCTTGGGATCAGACAGACGAACTTAAATGCAGAGGATAGATTCTCCACAGGAATGAATATGCAAGTGGCAATCTCAGAGTTCAGCAAACGCTAATAACACATTGCTCCTTTTTCCTCAGCTAGATAGTATTATCAAATCTGCAAAGAGCTGGAACAGATAACCTTAAACTGATGCTTCCTGAGAAGCTGATGTTCCCAAAGGAGCCTCTACTAATCTAAACCATCAAGCAACCTAGAAACAATGTTTGATTGAACTGAGAAGTGCAATAAGGACCTACTAGAATATAACTACATACTATGAGAACAAAGGAAAAAAGAAACCCCAAATTCTATTCTTCAGAGATGGATTTAAAAATCAAGCTGTAATATGTTCTAAATATTGGCTCCAGCCCTAATTCTTGTTTCCCCAGTTCCTTAAATTTTCCAACATAACTAGATTCTTTAAAAGATATATATGTGGCCAGGGGTGGTGGCACACACCTGTAATTCCAGGACTTAGGTGGCTGAGGCAGGAGGATCACTGTGAGTTTGAGTTTGAGGCCATTCTGGCTTACAAAGTGAAGTCAAGGCCAGTCTGAACTACATGATGAAACCTTGTCTCAAAAAGACAGAAAGAGAGAGAGAGAGAGAGAGAGAGAGAGAGAGATCTTTTAGTGTGTGGTATGGTATGATTTCCATTAGAAACTACTGTAATTTATAAATGCATGCTAAATGTCTTAGTTACTTTTCTCTCATTGCAGAGACAAAATACTGGATGTCCAAAATGAAGGAAGGAAAAGTTTATTTAGCTTATAGTTTGTGGAGCTCTCAGCCCATACTCAGCTGGCTCTAAGGCAGGATGGCATGGCTAAGGAACAATGTTCATGGAGGCCACAAGATACGGAGCAAAAGGGAAAAAAGGAAAAGCAAGCCTCTTTCACTCCTTTTCATTGTATGCTGGATATCTATCCCTGGATGGGTGCGGCACTCAAGTCACTAGTCTCAGTGCTAGACAATGAGCCGATCACAAACACTAGATTCAACTGCCTTCAAAAGGCCTGCCTCCATGACCGCATGAAGCTTTGGGGGCACATCTAGACACAAACCATATATTCCACCCCTTGCTCCCCAAAGACTCATGTATATCCCTTTATGGGAAAGGCATTTAGTCCATCTCCAAGAGTTGCCAAAGTCCTAGCAGTTTGAGCACTGCAGAAAAATCCAAGTCCCAAGTCTCTTCCAAGATCTTAGACAAACTCTTTGCTGTAATCCCCTGTGCAAATAAAAACAAAGTTAAATACTTCCAACATACAACGGCACAAGATAAACATTACCATTCCAAAGGGTACAAACATGGATATAAAGGAAAGGGACCTTCAAGGAAGTTCAAAATCCAGCAGGGCAAACACTAAGTACTGACGCAATCTAGTTGGGAGCTCCAAAAGGCTTGAAATACCCTACTCCCCTGGCACCCTGGAGGGTGCAGCTCTCACAGCTTTTGTCTTGGGCTGGCTTTGTTCCCTCCTTGTAGGTTTCCTTAGATGTTTTTCCAAATTTCTGGGTTCTCTATTGCATGTTTGACTTCACACTCACAGCTTCTCACATTGCCCTTTCAGGGCACACTACCTGGCCTCCTAGACCCTCCAAAATCTGGACTAGAAGCCTTTCCAACATAGTATCTCTTGTGTTCTGCATATGCCACACAAATGATGCCAAAGTCTGCAGCCAGTTGGAGCAGTACCCTCTTTTGGCAATGGGGCCCAGTGCCTGGATCACTAGGCACTCTGAACCTGATTCTGAAGAACAGATTCTCCATGCTATCACTATTCTGGAACCTGGTGTGGCCGCTGCCATTCTGGAACCTCCTGTGGCCTCTAGTACCATTCTGGAACATAGTGTGGCTGCTGCCATTCTGGAACATGGCACTCTGTGGCTTTCTCCTGAAAGCAAAGTCTTTCACTTCTGTAGTTTTGAGATTGCAAATGGTAGAGCCCTGCCACAACTTCCCCTGATGCCCCAAGACAACTTTTATATTCTTCTGTTCCTTCTCAGCAATTGAGATCTCAGCTCTTTATACACCACAGCTTTACTGGAGCTTTTTTCCCAGCAAAATTTGCAACATTTCAAGTAACCCTGATGGGCTCTTTGCTCTTCATTTGCAACATGAATCCAACTAAAAGCCCCCAACAATAGCTATGCCACTGCCTTAACATTAGACTGTCTTGAAATTTCTTTTGCCAGGTTAATTAGTCCATCATGCTTAGTCTCAGGCAAAGTCTCTGGACCTAAGCAAAATGTAGACAAACTTTCTGCCACGCCATAGCACACATCATCTGAAGTCCAGTAGCCAATGCAGTCCTTCCTAGCAGAAACCTCCCAAGCATGTTCTTTCGTGATTTGCTACTCTTCTGAGTTCTGACCAGAATCTCTCACTGAGAGCAGCCTAAGTCATTCCAGCCCTACCTTTCAAGCAACATCTCCAAACTCTTCCCACAAACCATTTCCAAAGGCTCTCAAACCACATGATCAGGTAGAGTCACAGCAATGACCTCTCTTCTCTGGTACCAAATTTTGTCTTGATTACCTTTCTCTCATTGCTCAGACAAAACACTGGATCCCCAAAATGAAGGAAGGAAAAGTTTATTTAGCTTATAGTTTGTAGAGGTCTCAGTCCATCCTCAGTGAGTTGGCTCCAAGGCAGGCTGGTGTGGCTAAGAGGCAACATACATGGTGGCTGTAAGCCACAAGACCAAAAGGGCAAAAAGGAAAACCTCACCTCTTTTCCTTCCTTATATTGTACACTGGGTATCTACCCCTGGACGGGTGCAGCATTCACATTACCAACCCCAGTGTTAGACAATGAGCCAATCACGAACACTAGATTCAGCTGCTTTCTAAAGGCCTGCCCCCCATGATTCCATAAGGCTTTGGAAAGACATCTAGACACAAACCGTAACACTAAGCAAGTCGTAGAGATGGTGAAAGCCTAAACAAAGACTGTTATCTTTGTATCTTCAGACTTTTACTAGGCATTTGATAAATATCTGTGAAATATATTCATAGTACATTATATCAAACTCACCACACTGAAATCATATACTGCTCTCAAAAAGAATATAAAAAATTAAACACTTTGTTCGTCACAGTAAATTGTGTTTTGAATCTCTCTTCGGTAACTTCCTAGTTATTAACATTTTCCTGGCCCTCTCCTTTAGGAAATATTTATTTTGCCTGAAGCCTTTAGTTTATTTGCCATATTCATATTTTTTAAATGAGCCAGATTTTTCAAAGGCCAGCACATTCCCTGGTTTATAATTGAATGCACTTTTAGAAGTCACATTAATTAGGATTATTTGAATGAAATATAATACTTACATTAGATGTAAGTGTCTTGTGTGACAAAATAGCTGAAAATATCCACTTAAAGAAAGAAAATTTTACTTTGGCTTATGATTTCAAAGGTTCTGGTCCATGGTTGAATGGCTCCACTGCTTCTGTGCCTCAGATGGAGCAAAACCTCTTGTGATCTAACTCATCCAACTGTGCCATTTCTTATTATCCCATTCAGCTATGAACTCACTAATTGACTAATCCACTGATGAGTTAGCACCTTCATGATCCAATCACTTCTTTAGTCCCCATCTCTCAACATCACTTTTTGGGGATCAAACCCTCAATACATGAGTCTTTGAGAATGACTTCATATTCAAATCAAAACCTACAAAAAATATTTATTTTCTTAATTGAATAAAAAAACAATTTT